ACTGCTGAGCCTTGCGCTCCCCGAAAGTTCATCCAAAGCAGGCCGGAACAGGCTGAATTCCAGCCCATTCGAGCAACTCCACCCGCAAAAGTCAGAACTGGTGTTTCCCGCCTGCCCACCACGGCAACCCGCTCCCTGTCAGCTCCCACCACGACAACCCGCTCCCTGTCAGCTCCCACCACGGCAAACCGCTCCCTGTCAGCTCCGCCCAAAAAACGAGGCCCGCGTCAAACTTTCTTCTTACCCCTTTGAGGCCGAAAAAACTCATTGTGTTGTCAACAAAAGGAGGTTGGCGGGCAGGAAAATGACTTTAACCTCAACGCTCTGAAACCTGATACAGTAAATGCGGACGGAAAGCCCTTCGTATCTGCTCTATGCACGCGTGAGCACAACTTTGCGAAATTACACGTCCCCGGTGAGCGTGGGAGATTGGGAAAATGTTGTGGAACTCCAAGGGAAGCAGACAGTTTGCCGAGGACCATCTGTAGGGTTACGTAAGCAATCAGCCATGCCACCCGAACTCAGTTCGAGACCTCTCGTGTCGCGTTTTGTTCTCCTGATCTCCACCCCCCTGCATTTCATTCCCGCACTCAACCCCACATACACACACATAACACACTCCTACCTACGCACAACACACACTCCCACCACCCTCCTCTTCCTCCCACTCTGCTTTGCTAAGGTTGGTATCGGGTCCCAAACGCAAGGCTGGGGAGACAACCCGATTGGTGGTTGCTTGAGTCAGTCCTTTCTCTTCGGGTCCATCTTGCCCGTTCTCACCTCGTGTGAGTTATGCGGCTTAATGGATATGTGCGCAATTCTGCTGCCATCGGGGAAGTAATTGCTTGCAAGGAACCCTCGCTGAGAGATTGGTTGTTTGTCCTGCATCGAAACAATGCCACTCCGGGCCTCCCTGGCCCCCACTACTCCCCCTATTTTAGGTTTCGCCGATCAAGATCCATCAAGACGTCTTTCGACCCCGTGTCGCTTTTCTTTTGTTTGTTGTTTTTGCAACCTGTCTCAAACGCGTTTACTAATCGGTCGGTTCCCTTCTTTTCTCCCCTCCCCCTATACACCTACCACAACCCACAACCCTCTCCGCAAACGCGGCTCTCTTTGCTTTTGCCAAACATGTCGCGTGCATTCGTCCGCCGGCTCCGGGACTCCTCGACGCGTCAGCCGGGGACGCAAGGACGCACGGTCGGACGAACCGGACGTTGGGAGGGGGATCCGTGTGTAAACATACATGTTTGAATAGAGAACTTTGGCCCCATATTTTTGATAGTGTCTTGTATTGGTGTTATTGTTTTCCAGCAAGCAGTTTGTAGGAATTGGCTCTTTAGCGACCCATCGAGTTCCCAGGGAGACGGCTGTGTGCCCTGGACGGGTTGGCACAACTATCGTTAGCACTAGAGCTGAGCAGACGTTTCGGAGAAACCCAACAAAAGGCTGCGCGATGAGACTTGTTCCGTCCAGATGGGCGGGCTCCGGGACTAGAAAATTGCAAGTGGCGGCCTGACTCTCGGCCGTCCCCCTTGCCGTATGCAGTTCCGCTCTATGCCTGCGACACGGGCCATCCGGAAGAAATCTTTGGCGCCTAATTGCAAGAGCACGGAACCTCTGACAATCACATTGACAATTCCGGCTGTTTCCCAGAGCGTTTCTCTCTGGCCCAACTTCCCGGTTAGTTTCAGAAATCAATCTCATCCCCTCACATTCGCGCTCGCTATCATTGCTACCTATGAGCAACGAGGGATGTTCCGACACTAAGCAATACTACTTCACAACTCAGTTATCCTGACATCACATGTTGGAAATTGTACCGTGAATGATGGCGATGGCTCATTTGCCAACATTGATCGGCATGTCACCCCTCTGTAAGGCCATAGGTGTCACTGTGGCTGCCTGTGCCGACAATGTTGCTTGCAATAGTCTTTCATTTCTATCTCACAGGATGCTGTTGCTCCATGGATCCCCACTTGACAGTGATCACAAGGAAGACCACGATTGAAACGTGGTTCTGCACATTCCTCTACATTGTTTCGGAGGTTGAATTATTTTGATGGCTTCAAGTTGACTCCAGTGCCGCGCTTTCATCATGGAAATAAACTGCGACGAGTGGTCAATTTGTTTGTCAGCATGAGTATGTCCCCACGGATATTACCGGATGGGTCTGAGGATTGGGGCAGTTTTGATTTCCGAGGGCGTTGGGCGGATCTTCATGTGATGAGTTAATGAGAGGGAATCTTTAATGTGTTCGCTGCCGGTTCAACGCTGCCGGAGGCGGAAGTTTATTAGAGGTAATGGCTTGCGCGTGTTCGAAACAGAGATGGAATTAAAGTGGTTTTTCAAGAGGATCCTAAGGCTGCACGAGACGGCAGAAGGCTCCAGCCAGAAAGACGCTCTGATGCGCTCCCGTATTCCGAACTGGCGATACATGAAGCGCGAACCTCGCCAAACAACTGCCGCGCTGCATGGGATACCGCACGGATACCCGTCGGTTGGACCCTCGGGAAAACAAGGAACCAGGGTAGCTCGATCACGAGCCTGCTGGATCGAACCGACCCGCGTTGCTCGACTCGCATTGCCGAGTTGCCCCCGCAAAGGGTCCGTTTTTCCCTCGCATTTGAAACCCCACAAATTCCCACAAACTTCATCCGTCGTCCGCCCTCATCTCTTGATCATCCTCATTCCCATCCGCTCAAAATTTCAAGACCCTACACAATGGCTTCCGCTATCCGCTTTGCTGCCCCAAAGATCGCTTCAGCGCTGAGACCCGCTACGCGTCTGGCTCCCGCCACAAGGTATGTAGGAATCCTTTTGGCTGGTTTTCTGATATTGGCCCATCACCGAATCCGACTACAACGATGTTCTCTAATGGTTTTCAGAGCATTCTCGCAATCAGCTGCCGCCCGCGAGGGTCTCAACTCTCTCAACACGTTCACCGAAGAGGAGCAGATGCTTCGGGAGGCCGGTATGTCCCTGTCAGGTTCTGGGAAGCCTTTCATGTCTGAGAGCTGATCCGTCCCGACATTTGTATGAAGTCGCCAACTTCGCCAAAAACACCATCAAGCCCAAAGTGTTTGAAATGGACGAGAAGGAGTTGTTGGACAAGTCGGTTCTGAAGGGATTGTTCGATCAAGGGGTACGCTGCACGGGTTGCGTATGATTGCATAGACGGATACGCCTTTTCTAAACAGTAGGTGCTATCATCAGCTCATGGGTATTGAGACGCCAACAGAGTTGGGTGGTGCTGGCGCCTCCTTCACATCTGCCATTGTTGTGATTGAAGGTAAATCTTGCTCAAACGTTTTGAGATTGTGTAATCAGAGATGGCCATGGGTTAACCTCCTCGGCAGAATTGGCAAAGGTCGACCCCTCCGTCAGTGTTATCTGTGACGTACAAAACACTCTCGTGAACACCATCATCAAGAAGTACGGTACTCAGGCACAAAAGGAGAAGTATTTGACCGCGCTCGCAGAGGGCAAGGTAAGTGACTCCTCCTGAATGTACGCCCAGGGAACGGTTTTCCGGGAATAACTTTTTTGCATTAGGTCGGATGCTTCTGTCTTTCTGAAGCCGGATCGGGATCCGATGCCTTTGCTCTTGAAACGACAGCCAAAAAGGATGGATCAAAGTACATCCTCAGCGGCTCAAAGATGTGGATCACCAACTCATATGAAGCCGAAATCTTCCTTGTCTTTGCCAACGCCGATCCTTCAAAGGGATACAAGGGAATTACTTGCTTCATTGTTGAGAAGGATATGGGAGTCAAGGTTGCGAAGAAGGAGATCAAGGTGAGGACAGATGATTTTTGTTTATAGAAGCTTGGGTGAAGGAGCAAGGCTGTCGCTTAACTTGTATCATATCCAGCTGGGCATCAAGGCCTCGTCGACCTGCGTGCTTAACTTTGACGACATTGAAATCCCCGCTGACGCCGTTCTGGGAGAGGTCGGGAAGGGTTACAAATACGCCATTGAGGCACTGAACGAGGGGCGCATTGGTATTGCCGCGCAGATGATTGGGTTGGCGCAGGGAGCCTTCGACGAAGCTCAGCAATACATGTACCAGAGGAAGCAGTTTGGGAGCTTGATCGGTGACTTCCAGGTAGGCGTCGTTCTTCGGATTCGGATGTTACATAGTACATCGGTCGCGCAGCCTGTGCCGGCTCCAATGGAAAGTTGGTTTGACAAACTTGCCACCAAATGTTTAGGGCATGCAATTCCAAGTTGCACAAGTCGCAACTGAGATCGAGGCTGCTCGTCTTCTCACCTACAACGCTGCGCGTCTCAAGGAAGAGGGCAAGCCATTCGTGATGGAAGCAGCCATGGCCAAGCTGTATTCTTCACAGGTTGCTGAGAAGGCGGCGAGCAAGGCGGTCGAGTGGGTGGGTGGTGTTGGGTTCACTCGTGGTGAGTTCACGCGATCTCTGGGCTTTCGGCAAATACCCGTCTAGGGACTAGTCTTTTGATTTGCTAATGGAACGGTGATCCGTACCCCGTCTTCTCAGAATTCCCTCTGGAGAAGTTCTACCGCGACTGCAAGATTGGAGCCATTTACGAGGGCACGTCCAACATTCAACTGCAAACAATCGCGAAGATGCTCAAACCCAAATACGCTTAGAAAAATTACATCTTTCTTTTTCTGCAACCCTCTAGTTTTAGTATGTTCTGGGACATCTCCTCCCACCTTCATTATAGGCTCGTAGGGTAGGGAAATATAACGGGTGGCAAGCAGTGCAGCAGTACCCAGACTGTCATTTCGCATGGCACTAGAAAATTTAAGGCACAGCAGGTCTTCGATGGTACGACAATCAAAACAAACCGAGAACCACACCGACAACCATAAATGTGACGCAAGGTCGCCCACAACCAAAACAAAAAAAGTAGCAAAAGACTGCCCCTTATTCTGTTGTTGATTCTGGAGGCTTGAAGGAGACAACACATAGGAGGGAGTCGGAAGATCTGTAAAATCCATGGCCAAGCTGTTCGGCATCTGATAGCACTTCCAGGTTTCGATCCTGGGGCCTTTGGGTGTCACCGCAGCGGGAGAAACCGATGCATATGAGCCCAACGCGCTTCCTCTGCGCTAAAGTGCTTCTGCTGCAATGTTGTAGTTGCTAGTTGAACATGTTGCTTCGGAGGCAGAAAGGCTTCAGTTGTTATCAGAGCCAGAAAGAACGCCTTGAGTGAGTGCAAGAGAAGGAAAGCGAAAAACGTGAAAATACCAAGGAGAGTACAGTATTTACAAGGAGGACCGACATTTAGTGGCATAGTCATGTCGGGTTTTTTGCACCCCATTCTATCTACAAGAAAAAAAAGCTACCAACATCCTAGACTACTTTAAATACCGGCAGCGCCACATCACGAACAGTGAAGTTTCCGCCCCATATCATCCACCTTCAGCCCACCCACACCTTCCCGTAATTCCTTTTCTTCGCGTGGTTGCTGTCCTTCCTCGTCATCGCTACTACCATCCGACTCATCAAACACGACAATTTTTACGAAATTGCCGAATCCGATGGCGATGCCCCAGGAGCTGGCGACGACGGACCGGATCGAGAGGACAGGGAGAGGGGTGTCGTCAGTGTCGGTTGTCGTGGCTGAGGAGGTGTCATCGTTGTCGTCGTCGGAGGAAGTTGGGTTCGAGGTATGCTGGTGATGGTCATTGTCGGTTGGTTCGGATGTGGGTGAAGGCACCGGTGCAGCCGGAGACGCGACCCCACGATTCCCGGCGTTGTTGTTGTTTTTACGTCTCCGTCTCAGCCGCCGTTTGGGAAGCCTTAAAATTTGCTCTTCCGTCACAGATTTATCCACGCCACCCGCTTCATGACTCTTCGAAAGGCGGCGTCGGATGCCCTCCGTTGCCATTCCGCCTCCTCCGGCACGCTCGCAAAACTTGTCCCCACCATTCCTAATCGTCTCGTCCACGTCAGCAGACCCAAACCCTCCAACCTCATCCCTACCCACCTTAATCCTCCTCACCACCCGCATAGGATCTTTGGAATCCGACAAATCCACCATCCAAAGTTCCCACCACCATTCCACGTCCGCCTCCGCTTCTTCGTCACCGCTTCGTGCCACGTCACGGCTCGCAGATTCCGCAACCCTCCGAGCACCAACCACCATGGCGCCATTGACACCAATGCAAGTACAGCCTTCCTGTTCGAACGTGCCCAGTTTCACGCATTTGGCGATCCAAGGTGCCACCACCGACGGTGACGTCCCGTCCATACCCGTTCCATTCGCTCCATTTACACCACCGCTGCCGCCCCCGCTGCCATCCCCAGACGACAGATTGGTAAAACTCTCCTTCCTCGAAAGACTATCCCTTCTCGACGTCGCGCTACTATTCCGTCTCCTCACGCTGGGTATACTCCGCCCTTCATCTTCGGGTAAACTTAACTCGAGTTCCAGAAAATGGACGGTTTGGGCCGTTGTGGAGATGGCGAGGGTGTAGGTGGATGAGGCGAAGGTCTCGCGAGCGCGGTGAAGGGCGAGGGATGTTATGGATGGTGCGGGTGTGCGGGTGCGTGACTGGGTGGTGGTGGAACGAGAGCGGGGAGAGGATGTATGGGGTGATGTGGGTGATGCGGAGGTTTCTCTAGGGTTGGTGATCACGTCGTCGCCGGTATAGCAGAGGAGGAGGGTGCGCGCTTCAATGTCCCATACTCGGACTTCTCCGTCTGTTGCGCCCGTCACTAAAACTCCCGCGCTTGCGTCGCAGGTGATGGAGACGACCGGTGCCGCGTGTCCCGAGAATGTGTGCCAGGATTTCCAAAACCCGCTGGGATCGGCGGGATTCGGAGGACATGCGACAGCCGACCAAGACCGCACCCCACCGTCTTCACACCCAGCGAAAATTCTGCCTCGCGGTTCAAAGAAGCAGCATCGAGCAGGACTTACGGTTCGCAGCAGCGTTTCGGACATGTGCGCCGAGTTCCAGACGTGCAGACCAGAATTCGACGCGCCAAACATGAATTCGTCGCCGTCACTTGACGAACCAAACCCAACTTGCGCCATATTTGTCTTTGCGGTATCCGCATCTTGCCCGTCCGCCAAATCAAAAACAGCAACATCGCCCGTCTCGACATCCCACACTCGAATCGCACCGCTCCCAGTCCCGCCAACAACCCGCAATCCAACCTCATCCGTCCCCAAACACTCCACCCGATCCCGATTCCCTCTTTTCCGTTTCCTACACCCATCCTCAACAACTATCCGCTCTCCATTCCCCGCATCCCACCACTGGACTTTACCATCCAAACACGACCAAGCCACCACCCCGCCGCTGCCTATCCGAACCACTTCCACGTCGGTGGAAGTGCTGGCTTTAATTGATACCAACCGGTACGCGGCGGATTTCCATTCGTCGTTGCAGTTGTCTTGGCCGGTTATTGGGCGGGTGGGTACGTGCGTCCAATGGAATTTCGAAAAGGAGGAAGAGACGCGGGTGAGTGTGTACAGGCAACTTGTGAGGATGACACAGGAAAGGGTTCCCAGGAGGAGGAGGAGGACGACGAGGGCGGTGAGGATCGTGGGTGAGGATTCGCGGAGGACCGCTAGAGGGCCTGAAGGTGGGGATGGTGCGTCGGGGGTATCATTTGGGTTGGGTATGGGTGCCTCATTTTGAAGGCTATCGGAATCCCCACCGCGGGGTGAGGCGAACGTCACGTAGGTTGGAGGTCGGATTTCAACATAGCGTTCCGACCGCGATGGATCGATGATGTCCCAGATTACATCGGCGGTTGCGGACATGGAGTGTTCAGGTTTCGTGCTCTGAGATGGAATTGAGTTCAAAGGTCCACTCCCGGATCCCGCGGTGCGGTGGAACCCAAAACCTAAGAGTATCATGAATGCTAAAGTCTGCAGGGGAACACCGAAAGCATGAGTTTTTGTCCGGCATTAAACGTCCCAAAAAGTTGCTTCCTTACGATCAACCAGGCACGCCAAGGAATTTGCTTCTTCTCCCCGGCCTTGTTTTCCTTCGATGATATAGATCCATTTGATCCAGCGGTTTGATTTTGCGCTTGCGCAATCTGGATTCTTCGAAGTTTGTGAAGTTCCGAGAGCTGCAATTTAGGAGGTAGGCCAAAATGAGTTTCTGGACTGAGAAAAAAATCTTGAAAAATGAATGAACTACCTCAAGCCGACGAATATCAATTGATAGAATGGTCGTGAAAAATGTTATTTGCAGAAAGTAATCCATCACTATGGAGACTGCACCAAACAGGCAGAACTCCTGGAATACAGTGGAAACATCCGTAAACGGAATGTGACGCATTGATGTACACGTTTCCTTCGAACCCCTACCTGCAACGCTGGGACACCTATCAAGGACCCGGTCAACAGAAAAAACATCTCTCCAAACAAAGACATGGACATTTGAACTCCCACTTTTGCAAGTCCTAATTAAAGTGCAACGGTTACAATTTACAGCCAGCAAAGGCATTTCCAGTGTAGAACAGGAACTTGTACCGTACCAAGCCCAACCCGCTCCTTCACAGGCAAATCCAAAGATGTCATGACCACCGCATTTGTCAACACAAAGATGTTTTCAACGCCAACGGCAATAATCAAGAATGGAAGGACTTCCCTGCAAAGCGGCGAAATCAAGCTGATGTTAACCAAAAACCACACGTTCAACTAGCAAAATGGCCTGGAACCACAGGCATTTTTGTTTTACCAAGGAACCAATGTGGACTTTACGCCGATGAGAGAGCACAAGCCAACTGACATGAGCATGGAACAAACAACGGCGAAGACCGCTCCGAAGCCCAAGGCGAACTTTGATTTGACGAGATCCACGCGGCCCACTACCAGAGATATGTATAGAAATACGATCAGGTAGCTGAGGGATAAGACGAGAGCTTCGCCACTGAACAGGTTGGGTGTGGTGCCGGACTGAAGATAGGTGGTTACAAAATGAATTGGGACACGGCAAGCGGCCCCATGGAGGCAAGAGTGGTCTTACCTTGTAATACAAATGCTTCACTTCTTGTTCTCCTACCCACATCCGCTCAATGCGAAGCACCGACTGATTGGTGGAGTCCGCTTGGTCATGATCGTCACTCCGCCCGACCACGTCCGTCCAGATTTGTCCCCACACTTCCGAAACATGATCCCATCCACCGGCGCTGTGATGGTCGTTTGCCAAGAAATACGTGACAACTATCGAATCTGCTCCAACTATGCTTCCAGTCAGGCGATCCATTACCACCCCGCCGAAAACAGAGTGGAGAGGCATGGGAGTGCCGAAAGAGGAGAATATGCTACCGTTGGACAGGGTTGCGACGATGTCTGGGTCACGATCAAGGAGAGATATGTTGGACGACCAAAATTCAAGAGGGGAATGAATAAGGCAGCGGCCATCAGCGAATGGTTTGAAACAGATATCACGCAATGAGAAACAGCGTTGGGATGGGATGGTGGGGTCGGTGGCCGCAAGATTGCGCTTTCTTTTATCTTTTGGTGGGCTATCGCTGACCCCCCTTCTTACGAGCTTCGCCGGACTTCCGCTGACGGGAGATGACAATGGCCGACTGAAGGTCTCTATGACACGAGATGTTTCTGGCTGCAAGGTCCCGTCGTCTCGGGGATAACCGTCAATACAGGCTTGAGCTGAGGCCAGCTTCTCATGCAGTGCGAGTGCGCGAGCCAACAGCGCTTTGTCAATGACACCCGGCCCCTGCCCTGCTCGATAAGTCTTGGACGTGTTTGATGCATTCACAACAATCTGTTCCAGTCGCAGAAAAGGTTCCGCTCCAAATCTGTGAACAAAGAGCTCTTCCTGTCCCGGAGCACGAGAGGAAGGCGATTCCCAAAATTGCATGGGTTGCTCGGATAATCCCCATGTTCTCAATCCGTTGTACGCCTGGATAAGAACTGGAGAGGATAGAGAGAAGATCAAGACAAAACTGAGCGCGAGAGACAAGTACGGGTAGGACGCGCATAGTATCCCATGACGGTAAAATAATTGAGACAGCAGATTTTCGGCCCACCAGCCTATTAAAAGAAAATCGGCGTTAAGATTCGTTTGTTCCTCGCTTGGCGCAGCTCATGCGAGACTGTTGCCAGGGGTTCCCGGGGACACGGGCAG